CTAGTGTTGATGTTTTTCCTAAATTAAAAAAAGATGGATCTTTTCTAAAAATGACTGCAGTAAAAGAAAACCAGTCTAAGTGTAAGCAATAAATATAAAATAAATAATAGAACATACTAAACTTTATGTAATATGTAATATGGTTCATCAAAAGCAAAGAAAAACCATTGAACTTGAAAATGTTTAGCAAATGATTAAATATCTAGAGTCTTCAAAACAACTGGAGACACTGAGTGACCTTGAGAAAATATGAAGTGAAGGTTTAATGAAAATGTGGAAAAGGGAGAACACCTTTCCAAGTGTAAAACTGACACCATTTCTTTCCTTTAAACAGCAACAACAAGTTTCACTTGAAATTCCAACCACAAAAGGGAATTTGAAAAAACTCATCCTCAAGGACCTCCTGATTTCATCCTAGTCACAGCAGACACATTCTCTTATATTTTGTTATTAGAAGTAATGACACTATACTTTGGGGACAAATGCCTAGGAGGAATGAAAGAAATGAAAATCCAAGTAGCAGCCTGCAACAGGAGCATTGTGTAGGCATACGCCATCAGTTCTCCAAGAAGCAGCACTGTGCGGTGTGGTCCATGTTGCTTCGTGAATGATGTGGGATAGCTCACAGTGATGCTTCAGAAGGCTCTGCAAGGAACTCCACATACCATGACAGCCTGTAACTGCATGGCTTTTGGAAAGTAGAATTTCTGGGTGTTATTTCTTGTGCTCCTTTGTGTGTATAGAAGTGTTGCGTGTATGCACAGTCAACAAGATTGCTCTCCAGTATGAACGGGTATTTCACTCCTGTACAGGTGTGGGAGGTCAGAGACGACACCAGGGTGCCTTTCCTCAATCACCTCTCAGTTCTGGGAATTCTTTTGTTTTCTTTTTTCCCTGATTTTTCTTGGGTGTTGTTTTTTTTTTAAATGTATCTTCAATGTTCTGAGTTAGTTAAGTATTTGGATAATTTTGAGCAAGGTATACCTGTAATTCAGCTTGCCTTGGCTTCCTGCTCAAGTTCCTACTTGTTTCCCAAAGTGCACTCAAGAGTATCTGTATGCTTTTAGTAGCAAATAGCAATAATAAAAATTGCCTTTTTTATTAGAAATAACTCAAAGAGGAAACAAGAAGCTTGAAAGTAGTAGCCTGGTAGGTGAGACAAGAGACATCAGATCCCGAGTCATTCTGAGATTTTACATCTGGTGGGTAGCCTGTCTTTGTTTATATCCTCAGAAGCTCCCAGGAGGATACAGAAGGCAGAATCCACAGGAAGAATTTGGTCATACTTTTCAAAGTAGTTTAGTTTTCAACAATCCACCTTCCCTTAAGGGAAAACCACCTTGAGAACCAATTAGTGGAACGAAATGCTGGGAGAAAAAGATCGGGCTCCAGTAGAAAAAAAGTATTTTGTTGATTTCAAGTAAAATCCTAGGGCCAGATGCTAATAGGGATGTCCCGGTGCTCATCTTCCAAGCCTCAGGGACAGTGCAGTCTGTTACATTTGTTTCTCTTCAACCAAGACAGGAACAAAGTCTCCAGACAATTTTGTAAGACTTAATCCAGATTTGGGGAACAGGAGACAATCTTCGGAGGAGTAACAGTGGATTATTGCACTAGCAGAAAAAGGGAAAATACAGCTTCCTTTCCCTTAATCGGATTCCTTGTGAACAGAGCTCAGGGATCTACTGCTCACAGTGAAAGAGATACACAAGACAAATGGCTACCAACCATTCATGACAAGGCTAAATTCATGATCAATGCCTCTTCATGTTAAAAACTACTGTTATAACTATGCTGTCCAGTGGTTTCAACGGTGTGTCAGGAAGGAAGTGGACATAAACAGAAAGTGAAATCTCGCAGCAAGGAATGGGACTATGAGAGTCTGCTCAGGTAAGGGGTTGCTCATTGTCACAATCAGAAATGCGTACTGAACCACACACCAATATCTATCTGCTGGAACTGAAGCTATTGCCCCCTTTTTAAAAAAAACAAAACAAAAAAACCCCCAAAAAACAAAAACAAAAATGTTTTATTTTAATTTCCAAAAAGTCATCTCATTTTCAACTTTGCTTTGATTAAACTCTTCACAAAAGAGCTGCCATTAGGAGGGAGAAGAATAATATCAAGCAGGTGTCCACAAACATAGCACCTGTTCTTGAACAAAGTGCACACTTCGACTGCTTGCTAAGAAGAATGAACACGATACAAGGCTGTGTCAGGAAGTAGCCCCTGCATTCAGGCACACACTTAGACGTACTGAAAAGTATCTTCATGATAAAGCAGTGTAGCACAGGCTATGAAGTCTGATGCTATATTTGGCAAGTCTGGATCATCTCATAAGAATAGAGCCCTGAAATCACTGCTTTTTGATAAAATGACATAATAAAAATGTGAAAATGAAGAATAAAATTGGAGAATCCATTTTAAATACTTATCGTGGTGCCTGGCATATACAAGCAGGAAGTATGATGGATGTCAACGTTTGTTGCTATTATTGTCCCTCTGTTTCCCTTCCGTGCTATCTGAGACCCATTAGAGGGAATTGGAGATTCATTCATAGACCTCATTGATTGCTTGGTCAGTCTCTGCACTCACACTTCTGCCAGCTCCCCTGTGAGGACAATGATTTTCAGTCCAAGACCTTAGGTTCAGTCTGATGACGATTCTGATGAGTTTTGTATGTGTGGTGTGACAGTGGAGCACTTCAGAGTCCAGGCATTGCAAGGCATTTCCCACTGCAGCTAGCCCTCTGATATCTGTTAGCCTGCTCTCAAAGGGTTGGAACATAATATGTCTGTAGACCTATACTGCAAGGAGGGCCTGCTTGTTTGTCCCAGCCACCCAGCTAGCTTAGCCTGGAAATAATCACACAGAAACTGTATTAATTAAAACACTGCTTGTACCATTAGCTCTAGCTTTTTATTGGCTAACTCTTATATTAATTTAACCCATTTCTATTAATTTATAGGTCACCACATGGCAGCATCTGTCTCCCAGTGGATCCATGGCTGCTCCTTGACTGCCCATCTTCTCCTAGCATACAGCCTAGCTTTCCCTGCCTAGTTCTGTTCTTCCCTGCCATAGGCTCAATGGTGTAGGAGGTCTTTTTCTGCCTTTGTGTTGCATTCATTGGTTAATAAAGAAACTGCTTTGGGCCTGTTGATAGGGCAGAACTTAGGTAGGCAGGGAAAACTAAATGGCATGCTGGGAAGAAGGAAGGCAGAGAGAGAGAGAATCGTCATGAATCCACCACCAGAGATAGATGTGCTAGAACTTTGCCTATAGGCCATGACCTCATGGTGATACACAAATTAATAGAAATGGGTTATATTAACATAAGAGTCATCCAGTAAGAAGTCAGAGCTAATGGGCCAAGCAGTGTTTTAATGAATACAATCTCTGTGTGGTTATCTCCAGGCTACCGCGGCCGGGACGAACAAGTGGGCCCTCCTCCTACAGATCTACAGTGTGACAGAAAACACCCAGCCTGCATCAGAACCTCCACCACATTAGGAATTGCCCTGCAGAGCCATGAGCAAAATAAAAGCTTACTCATTAAGAACTTTTATGATTATTGATCATGTGACAAAAGCTAACTGAGCTGAAGAATAAATTAAAGAATTGCCTACCTATAGTGCAAATCCCACTGTTCCAAGAAAGAGGACATCAGCTGAGAGTCTAAATTGAAGGCACAGCAGAAGTGGAGACATAAGGAGAGAGTGATAAACAAAGCAAGAATAAGACCTGGCTATTCCTGTGAAGTCTAAATAGGCATCCTCAGCTTTGGTGTGCGAGGGGGCACACATGGCCAACAGTAAGTCCACTTGCAATGGTTAACAGGCATTAGAGGCTTTGGTAGACACTGAGCCAAAGACTCTATGTCAACGGTTCTCAACCTTCCTAATGTTGTTCCTCATGTTGTAGCGATTCCAAAATCATAAAATTATTTCATTGCTACTCATAACTGTAATCTTGTTACTGATGAATCATAATGCAAATATCTTATATGCAGGATATCTGATATGAAACCCCAAAAGGGGTTGTGACCCCTAAGTTGAGAACCACTGCTCTATGTGGATTGTGTCCTAGTCATCATAATAGCATGGGCACATAAGCGCTACAAACTTTACTGACTCCCTAAATGAGGAAACTGGGGCCAGCTCGGAAGATTAGTTTGCCTGTGTTTACAGAGCAAGCGAAAGATGCAAGCAGGATGCTAGAATACCATTCCATGGCACGAGAAGATGGTGGTCAGGGCCACAGACATGCTTTCCCTCTCTATGATCACTTTGCTCCTCTCAATCTCTTGTGCGCATTCATTATTTAGTCCCTAGGGCCCTTATGGACTAGATTCTGCAGGTAACAACATGAGAGACAACTAGTGAACATCCTTGGCCACAGTGTCACATGGACACCCAGTAGTGGCAGTGCTGGATTAGTGGCATGTCAATAGCTTTGGTCTCAGTCCACCCGAATGTGAAAAAGTATAGCCATAATATTCTCTGTCTTTCTGGAACTGAATCAGCTTACTCGAGTGCTGGAAGGCAAATATGTCCGGTGCACTGTGATTATCTTCAGGTACACAGAGTGATGGATGACTTTTAGTTTATTCTACAGTCATTCTTAGAACCCACTAAGCTTGCTTGCTTGCTTGCTTCTTTCTTTTGTTGTAAGCACAGTTTTCTCATTTGTTGCCTTGATGTCAACTCATTTCAGTTTTGCTTTTCTGATGGCATAGTTTTAGGTGCTACTCTGCCAAGTTATAGATTCAAAGGACCCTTAACAGAGTAATCAAAAGAATGGGAATCATGATAAGCTTCCAGAATTATTTTAGGAAGTATGAAAACAAGGAACTGGCCTCAGATCTGTTCACACGCATTTTCAGTGTCTAGCAGGAAAGTCTCAATAGATCCCATCCTTTAGCAATGGCCTCTCTCTGGGTTCAAGCACAACAATTACATCCCCAAGTACTAGCACCCAGACAAGCATCACATCCTTACCTTGAAAGCAGCACCTCCATGGATGACAGATTTGATAAAAATCCCCAAGTCAGTTCCAGTTTCTCGGGATTTATTCCCTTTCAAGCTAACTCCAAGGCCAGCGGAGCCAGAATCATTTAGGGGGATCTCCAAGGTGAGCTGCTCGCTTGCCTCCAGGGAGAGCATGTAGCAGTCAGGTTCTCCTTTCTGTTGGGAAGAGTGAAAGAGGAGGGTTGATATCAGTTCACCTTCTCGGATGACTGAAGCAGATGCAGTTGACAAGATGGAATGGCTGGACCTCTAACAGCTATTTTCCTGGCAGATAAAGACAAGTCGCTTTACCTCTCTGTAAGATGCTGCCACCATGCCTACCACACAGCAAAGTGCTCTCTGGGGATAGAATCTGGTTATGGCTGAAAAAGAGGCCACTTTGTGAGGTCAAGTTGTACAACTTTAAACATTCTGCAGACATTTTGGGAACTTGGTTGGATATTTAAAATAACGAAATAGGCTGGATGTTAAACTCAGCGAACGTCAGGTTGCAGAAGATTCTTAGAGATCATTCATTCTCCACATCTTCATCACGCAAATGAAGATGCAGAGCTTAATATACCGAACTTTGTGAAAAGCTTGGAGAAATATTACACTTATAATTTAAGATATATACTTTGCCATGGAAACTATAGCACTGGTGAAGAGTATCAATAGGACTCAAACATGGAAATTTTCATTTTAAAGTTTAGAAACATTTTTAATGGCTATTATTGAATTCAAATTCATCTTATCAAAAATCAAGTGGTAAGCTTATATCATTGTCTAGCAGAGTCCCCTAAAAGTAAATAGGTTCTTAGACTGCCATAAAAAGTAATTGTGCACAATAAATATTCATGTGCTCTCTGACAAATGACACATATACCCACTAGCAAACTAGTCTCCCAGGATTGTAGTGGCAAAGGCAGGCTTATGGGCCAGCTCTCCTGGGAGAAGTATGTGGTCAGTCATATGTGGTACAGAGGGTCTTCAGACACACAGTCATGAGAATCTGAGCGTGCTGTACATGATCATTGCATTATTGCCGCCCCCACCCCCCGCACCTCTTCAAGCTTGCAGGGATGAGAAAGCACCACAGTGCTTAGCTGGAAAATTTGAAAATAAGATATTCCTGAAAACCATCCACTCATTCTAGGGTAGCAGTTACTTCCTCTCTGTAATTATGTCTACAGAGTCTCTCATCTTAAGGTCGCTTTGAGGTGACTCCTCTGTAAAACTGTGTATTTAAAACATTGTCATGAATGTCTGAATGTCAGTCTCAAATTCATATAAAATCAGAAGTAGCAGAGAACCCATAATTAAAACAGGATTAAGGGGTCTGATCATAGCCAGATCCACTGACCTGACATTTTCAACTCTGAACAAAAAAGACAAAAACCCACATTTAACTTGTAATGAAATGATTCTTTCAATTGCTTCCACCGTGAATGAGGTTTATTGGTAATACGCTGACAAAAGGTTGTTCAAAGGAAGGAAACTTCGTTGCTTAATTTAATAAATCTACTGTAGGTTTATATATACTATAATGTATTATATATGCATATACATATATACACATACACATATAATATATGCATATATATGTATATTCGTCATTGTATTAGCTAAGAAGGAATCAGCAATTTCATATCTAGAGTCAAAGTTACCATTCCCGGTTGCTGGTTTGTTTTTTCCCCCCTCATTGGAACGTCAGAGCTCAACACTAAATGTAAACATAGCCTTCACCATTGTCTTCCAATCTGCCTAATTTAGAATACATAACATTTTACAGTCACTTGTGTTTCTGGGCCTCTCTGGGATTGGGTTAACTTAAGTCTAATAAAGTTATACAGAAATAAACTATAAATTAAAGGACAATTGTTCTCACTGTATGTTCTGAATTTTTTAGGAAGTAAAACTAGAAAGTTCTTTGGCTACTACAAACAGAAAATTGTTTTAAAAAAACTAATTTGCTTTAGAAATATAGTTATACATTGTTCTAGATGGGGACATGAGCAGATAAATATACTCCTAGGATACATGACTGTGTGCGGCAAGTGTGTAGCGTGTGATACCATGTGGTGTATGACTGCACCTTCAGTTCACGTAGTTCATGATCAAGGAGGTTTCACTTGACAACGAGTAAGATTGACAGCCATGATTGACCGACAGCCATGATTGTTTTACGCGTATTCATACTTTTAATTGTTATCTAACTGCAGTAACAGAGACCATGTTGAATTATGGCTACCTTTTCATTTCAAAGTTAAGTTCCTGACCTGTGAGAGCCAGAAATACAATAAAAACAACAAGCTAGGGGCTAACGATGATGGAGTTGACCCACTACAAGTACCTGAAACGGGTTAAAACACTTAGCTTCATGGTGACTCTAAAGGTTTATTCGTTATCAGGGCCATTTTAAAGACAAAGGAATCATGGTGCATAGTAGCCAGGCACTGTGCTACCAGATCACAAGACTTGCAAATACCGAAGCTTTGTGATGTCCAGGCAGCATGACTCCTGGCTCCAATTATATTTATTTTTAGTAAAAGGTCATGAACTGTTTATTACATGTCTAATATTCTATAGACATTTTCACAAAAGCACTGACATTTATCCATGATCTCTGATTACAGATGATACCAGCCATGCTATAAAGTTATTATTAAATGATAAATGTATATATTTATAGTGTGTATATTATGTGTTTATGAATACAAGGCTGGGAATATGGTTCAGTGGAAAACAAATGCTTGCTGACAGTGGATATGGAGTCTGAACTGGCCATTTCCTATGACCCAGAAATCTTTCAGTGGAGGAACTGAGACACCAATCAGCCACACAACTTTAGATCAACAGTCTGTCCTGTCTACGGGAGATGCTGGGATAAGGGTGGTGCAGAAATTGTGGGAGTGGCCAACCAATGATTGGTCCAGCCTCAGATCCATGTCACAAGAGTGATTTCTACCTCTGACATTGCCTGGACTGCTAGAACCCGGACTCTGAATGGCCCAGAGACCTAGGGTAGACCCAAGTGTCAACATAGGATGCCTAAAGATATGTTGCTATTCCCATAGATTGGTGAGGACCCCAGTTGTCATCAGAGAGCCTTCATCCAGTTAACTGTTGGAAACAGATGTAGAGACCCACAGCCAAACATTAGGCCAATCTCAGGGAATCCTGCTGAAGAGAGGGAAGAAGGATTTTACCAGCCAGAGGAGTCAAGGAAATCACAAGAAAACCTACAGAATCAACTACCCTGGGCTCATAGACGCTCAGAGTCTGAACCAATAACCATGGAACCTGCACGAGACTAACCTAGGCCCTCTCCATATATGTGACAGTTGTGTAGCTTGGTCTACTTGTAGGACTCCTAACAGTGGGAACAGCAGTTGTCCCCTTTGTCTGGCTTTTAGGACCCTATTCCTCACACTGGGTTATCTTGCCCAGCCTTATTACAAGGGGAGGTGCTTAGTCTTACTGAAACTTGATATGCCATACTTGGTTGATATCCATGGGAGGCCTTCCCCTTTCTTAACTGAAACAGAGGAGGAATGTATTGGTGGAGGAGAGCAAAGGAGACATGAGGGAAGGAATGGTAAAAGAGGAGGGAGGGGAAACCAGTTAGGGTTTAAAATATATCTATTAATTTAATTTTTAAAAAGTGCCTGCTGTCCAAGCATAAAGACATTAGTTAGGATCCAGAGCACCACGTCAACACACACACACACACACACACACACACACACACACACACACACAATGTATACATAGTAAACATGTATACGTAACATGTATACATAAAAACACTGAACTTATTAACATAAGCATTACCTCAGAAACATATTTTGAAGGTAGTGGGAGTAATACCCCTTAAGCCTGTTTTCAGTGAATTTTAAGAGTTCCATACATTGCTATGAATTATAGAATTATAGTCACCATTCAGGTAATGAAGTAGTCTCTAGATCACTCCTTTGTGAACCGAAATTTGGTACATTTTGACCAATACCTTTCTAGTCTCCTCATCCCCCGGTAATCACAATTTTACTTTCCACTTCTGGGTTTATTTTGTCTCTTTTTTTAATCTTTTTGTTTCTTTTCTCTCTTTTTTTCTTTTCTTTTTGAAATGATAGGTTTTCATTCTGTAGCTCAGGCTAGCCTGAAACTCATGTAAATTGGGATTACAAGTGTGAGCAGCGTGCCTGGCAGCCTGACCCTTTACGACTGCGCCACTACACATCTGTGTGTCCCAGAGCTGTGGCCCATCATGACGTCACATAGTCACAGGACATCTAGAGATAGATTCCTATAATGAAAGTAAAGCGATACGCAATTTATATTCTCTACCAACTCCAGTTATGCTTCCCATCTTTGTTATGCTATAACGGGCTCGAGTCATAATTAGTGGTTTCTAATGATGGCGAATTCCCAGGGGTGACGGAAGCCATTATAGTAGTTAACACAGCCATTTCCTTTCTTAGAAATAAATGTTCCTTTACCTAATGTACAAAGACAAAAATCAATATACCGAATGCCTCATACTTGGTTCAAACAAGCAACTCTAAAAATTAAGCTCAAACCTTGTTAAGCGACGTTCTGCAGTGAATGATGAAGGTCATCAGAAACATGGTCAAGCTGAGGGCAATGTCACAATCAGACTGCAGATGCTCCTGGCTTCCTGGCTTTCAGCAAGATATCCTCCCACCTGTGTTAGGAGAACCCCTGCCTTTTCCTTCTACAGATAGCTGCAGCTCCCCATAAAAATACTAGGGTAGTAGGGGAAGCTTGTGAGTCACACTTTTAATTTACCTTCTCGTTATCTTTTATAGCTTTTCACTGAGGTCATTTCTGGACACAAAGTCCTCAATAGTCCCAAGGCTAGGCTGTGATAGATACTCAAAATGCCCCACTATGTATTCCTAAATTCAAAGTTCCAGCACTTGCTAGGGACTAACTACACAGAATACTCAGTTTGGGCCTCAACCTTTGCACAACTGACATTTGGGGCTCTGTGGGACTGTCCTATGCATTGTAGTTAACTACATCCCTATAACCTCAGTAGTGTTTCTGCCCCAGCTGTGCTAACTGAAAAGGCCACAGGCATCGTCAGAAGTATGATTGAATTACATTCAGTTGAGAAACCACTGGTCTTGAATTAACATTACCAAATGAAGCCA